TCCAAGTATTCCCACATTTACTTCTCACCTGGCCTCCTTCTCATGCTCCTGCTTATAAGACTAATCGCGGAGGCACTTTCCACCGAAGACCGTCTCACTTGGCACCACGTGTACAATACCACAAAGATCACCACCATGTGACGTTGTTACCCTTCAGCCGTTCCAGCTGCAGCTCTGTATTGACTCCACAAACTCCACTGTCACTGGAACAAGGTGTTTATATTGTAAATAGGCAACTTGACCTTTTTAACAAACAGAATCAAACAAGGTCATAAAGAATAAAACACAACTTTAACAGAGAATAGAGGAACATGGATTTGTCGACACTCACCACTTAACGCTAAAGACTTTGGGCAGAAATGTGCATCAAGGAGGAAGAAGAAGGTTTGTTTGTTTTTTTTCATTGTTAGGATTTTAATTATTTTGCCAAACAATGGTTTCATTTTGTTGTTGCTGCTTTTTTTTAACATATCACTTTTTATAATTAAATTGTGTGTGTGGGTGTGTGCATACATGCGCATACATGCTTGCGTGCGTGTGTGACAGTGACAGCAGCAGAGAAGAGACTTGTCATCATCATTTCAAATGTAACTTTATAAACAACTTTAGCAGCACCACTAAGATGTTGACAAAAAAAACTCAGCTCTCACCCTTCTTCACCCATCTCAGTGATTCACCCACTCACCTCTTTTAGAAGCCAACATGTAGCAAAGTTCAAATTAAAGATTTGATAAAGAAAGCTTAGATAAAGATTTGCATCTAAATTTGATTGAAGTGAAATGTTACTCTAAGCCAAAGGTTGTATTGAAATATTTCACAACATAAGGCCCATTTTGCTGGTCAGCAAAGGAACTACAGCCCAAACATTTCAAGAAATGTTCTAATATTAGAAGTAACTGCGGACACAGCTGCACAGTAACCTTCCTTAAATCTGATCAACTATTAACTATTTTTAATATGTCTGAACTCTCGGCTCCCCTTAACCAACCTGTAAACAGTGGTTCTGCCTTTGGGCTGCAGCTGCAAACTTTTTTTCGCCTAAAAGGCATGGCGATAAGAAGGCTAACATTTGTTTTTTGTGTGAATTCATTCAACATTTTAGTGTTATTTCAAAGGAAAAACAGAGGATTGAAGAGTTGAAAGCTATGTCTCCATTACCATCAATGACCAGTCGACTCTGAGTATCAGTGTCCTTTAAGAGTTCTCTCATTTATTTTTTAAACGGATGAAACAGATGTGACGAACAATCTGTACACTAGAGGGAGACACTTGTAACACCTACGATCTAAAGCTGCAGCTGCTGTTTTATCAGCGTTCAGATACGTCTGGACATTTCCCTGTTAAACTTTTCACCTGCTTTTCATCTTATTTTTCTGACATTTTATTCTCCCTTTATTACATTTTTTAGCCTTCCTCATATTGTTGTTCCTTGTTCCTCTTCATCTCATTATGTCCTTCTCTTATGCCTCAACTGTCGTTTACGTTGTGTTTGATGAGATCATGTCACCTGTCAATCAAAAGTTTGCACATTCGTTTTAGATTCTGCTCCAAGTATTCCCACATTTACTTAAAAAAAGTTAAAAAATGTTTACGCAAATGAAATGTTTTTAACAGATGCTCAATGTTTTTGTTTAGTCATTCAGACCAGCTGATGGTCAAAATCACTTCTTGGCATTATGATCACGTTAATATAATTTTAGTTTGTGACAAGAGAGCGTCAGGTTATCTGATCAAAGGTAAGGTCATGTGACCTGTGGTGGACTTGTGTGATTTGCAGTCTAAAATAGTGATTACTGAATGTTTGTGTGTTTGTAAATATATGTGTCACAACAGTAACCACACCCCCCTGACTCCCTCACACTCTAATGCAATAGTTCTGGTAGTTCTGTGTCCTTTATTTCTTTTTTTTTTCATTTCAATAAAAAGAAACTCAAAGTCAATGAAGAAATAAATAAAATAATGGCTGTTTATCAGTAGGAAAAAAAGTGTCATTATTTGGCAGAAAAAAAGCGTAACTTTGTAAATATGAAAGCAGATGAGTGAAGATTGACAAACACAATTGGGCCAAAGTGCCACCTGCAGTCCTAAAATATTCTTTCTTTTTTTCACCTTCTTAAGGAAAATCTGAGACATTATATTTGATGATTTAAGATCATTGTCAATAATTCAACCCAATACAAAATGGGGAATTGGATCATGACTTTTGGATATTCGTAAGGTTATCCAAATATTACAAAATTAGAATATGAACTAGAATATACCACACAGAAATCAGTCATGCCATTACATTCACAATGTCTTTATCAAAATAATTGAAAACAGTATTTTAAATAAATCTGTTAAAAAATACAGTGAAAGCTAAAAATATTGGATTTATCCGTTATGAAATCAAAAACTCTTACTCCAATGTTACAGTTTAGGCTAAAATCAAGTTTTAATGTTAAGATTACAGTGATCAGCAAGTCATTGATAAGTAATCACTCCAGCCATGATAATAAATGCAGCAGATAAACCTAACTAAAGCTCCACCAAATGCCTCCCACAGCGAATTTTGGTGATCGTATTTACTGTGTATTTGTTCATATGCAGTAAACCATAATTGTATATTAAATACTGTATCAATTGTACTGCGTATTTTAATAGTAATAAACAATTGTACAAGTGAACAAATATTCTTATTCTCAAGATTCCAATTTATAGAGCTTTACTTGGCGTTTTATATTTTAGTACTGTGTTTGTTGTGTTTGTCAATATATGTATATGTTGCGTCTGTGTGTTTGTCGCAGAGTAAGAGAGAGGGAGAGAGGGAGAAGTGCGAGACAGAGAATTAACTGCAGACTTGTGTCAAGTTTGTCAGGGACACAAACCGGAAGTGACGGGACTCCTCCTTCAATATAATGTTATAGTTGAAGGAAAACTAAATGACGGTTTGGAAATAACAGTTTTTCTCTTGGATCAATCAATCAATCAAATTTTATTTATATAGCCCACATTTACAAAATACAGTTTGTCACATGGGGCTTCACAGGGTTGGTAACATCCTCTGTCCTTAGACCGTCAGCCAGGGTAAGGAAAAACTACCGAAAGAGAAACCCTTTCAACAGGGAGAAAAGAGAAAGGTAGAAACCTTAGGGAGAACCACAGGTTCTCCTAAGTTCTCCTAGGTTGGAGGGACATAAAGGTGATTTATTTAAAATTCAAATAAAGCAGAACCAACTAACACTGTTTATGAATTGCATCAGGCCAAGCTTAATATAAAACCAAATATGTTATAAAGTAAGGGTGTCCTACTCAATTTCTCCGTCAGTTTTCGGGTCCTTTGTCTGGAAAATAAATGGATTAAGAAAATAGATTGTTTTAAAACACACTAAACCCCTCTATGACACCTTTTAACTGTGCTACAATAACACAAACTTATCATTGGATGGAGCGGGGATTAATAACTGCCTGTGAGCTCATACAACATTTTTCCTCGATTGATTGGTGTAAAATTGATTTGATTGGTGTAAAAGACCTCCGCTGAACAGAAAAATAACACGTGTAGAAGTAGGAAGCGCATGAAGCTTTACTGCGAAGTCATTGTCAGTATTCCACTAACACATGAACCGTCCCTGAAAGTCGCTGAACTCAAGCTTTTATAATGAAGGTTTACCAGAAGTGATGTGTCGTCACTGACAGGTGTTGGCGGCAGTGGGCGGGACATACGGGGACTGCGGTGATAAACAAATACACGCAGTAAAACGTCACAGACTCTGCAGCACTTTTAACACGGAACTGGAAAGATACAGTGAGTTTTAAATGGGTCAGAACCTGGACCTGGCCTGAACCCGAACTCCTGACCCGGTGTATGTCACACCGAGCCATTAATACACACACTAATACTCACAGACATACACAGAGCGGAGGAACATGACGGAGCTAAGGAAGCGAGGAGGCGGCGGAGACGATAGAGGAAGCGCCGAGGACATGAGCGACAAGGTAGGAGACAAGGGCACAGGAAAGCGAGGAGACGAAAAAACAAGGACACGAGGGAGCGATAAATCATGAATTAAGAAATGATGGCACAAAAAAAAAAAAAAAAAAGGAGAAAAGGAAGCCGAAAATGGAAAGGATATAAGGATAAATGTAAGTGCTTAGAATACAGGTGAGTGAGGAGAATGGGATTCAACAAAATAAGGAGAAAATTACTTTTATGTAGACAATATAAGTAAGCATATGATTTTCAAGCACTAAATATAGAAATGTGCTGTAGTTGTTGCTGTTGTTATGTAGGTGAAGAACAGGGCAGAGAAGCATAGACAGGGATACAGTAGGGTGAGAAGACCAATACATGAAAAGAGATATAAAGAAGTGAAGAGATGTGAATTTAGGAGGCAGGCACAGGAAACATACAATAGAGTGATGGGATGAAGACAGAAACCAAAGGACGTAACAGTGAGGAGACAAGTGAACACAGCAGGGAGACTTGTATTAGGATGTGAAACTGAAGACTTGGAAAGTTTGAAACATATAAATAATGTTTTTAAACCAGTGAATATATGTGTGTCTTATGTGTGTGTGTGTGTGTGTGTCAGGAGGCAGACTCAGACCACAGGCCTCAGTCCGATGCTGAAGCTGATGCAGACTTGGATGTGGACTGTAAAGCAGAGGGTGCAGATGTTCCTGATGTTCCTCTGTCCACAGCTGACACTGACAACACTCCAGAGTGTCTGAACAAAGCTCTAGAGGGGCTTCCACCCAGGTATGAAAACACACACACACACACACACACACATAAACCGATGTTTGTAACTAGGTAAACCAAACTCCTCTCCTGGACATAGTCATCTGTGGTCTTGTGCTGTTTACAGTCAGATGGAAGGAGAAATCCAGACTGAGATTGCAACAGATATTTATCAGATATAATCAGTTTGCAAATAACGTGAATTAAAACAGATTTTTAAACGTTACAAACTTACATTTGACATTTAATGATCCAGATTCTTCCACAGAGCAAAGTGTAAAAAAAAGGAACTTTTTTTGCATACTGTTGCATGCTCTTCCTGTTGAACTAGTGAAGATTGCATAATCAGAGGTGTGTGTACAGGCTGTGATTTACAGTTTCAGTATACAATTTTGGTATGAAAAACCTGATAGCTATTTAAAAGAAAATGTGTTTTGATTTGGAAAAAACAGAAAACAACAGATTTGTCTTTATGCATGTGTAAATAAATTGTGATAAAAACCGGGAGGAGTGTCTGTGGTGAAAGGACGTGGTCTGTGATTGACAGCTAGGTCACTGGGCTTAAAGGCTCACTCCCAGTGAAAGACTAATCTCTGCTGAGGGGAGGAGTATTGGGGGCTGGGGGTTGATGGAGGGAGGGGTTGCGGCTTAGAAAGAAGAAGAAGAAGAGAGTAATGTTGTGACAAGACAACAGCAGCAGTTGGCGATGTCCTCACACACATCATTTCAAACCTCTCTGAATACACAGTATGAGGTTCCTCGTCTTCCTAATCAGCTCTGTTGATGATGTCCCAGCTCTGTGGCAGTGGTGGCTTAGTGGTTAAGGACGTGGACTTGGGTCCGGAAGGCTCCTGGTTCTAGTCCACCAGCTGCCAAGTTACCACTGAGGTGCTCTGAGCATGACACCGTCCCCACTCACTGCTCCCCTTAAAGCTGACCACTGTTCACTTTGGTGATGGGTTAAAAGCAGTGGTGAGCTGTGTCACTATGACAAGGAGTTCACTTTCCTTTAGTCACACTTGACCGCTTTACAATGTATTACAGAACATCGTGAATTAATTAAACACATTTATTATTATTTATTAAGAGGGTAAATTTTACAGTTATTTTTTTTTATTATTCATAGATGGAAGAATTACTGGATCCGTGGAGTTTTGTCAATGGCCATGATAACATTTTTTTTCCTCATCATCTACATGGGACCCATTGTTCTCATACTAGTGGTAGGTCACTGATTTATTTTTCACTGTTAACAAGCTACATTAACTTCCCTCAGTTTGAAAACTTTCCAGGAAAAATTCTGAAAATATGTAACATATATGACACAACGTTTGGCACCAGACCTGCTGCTTTGTCAGCTGATGCTTCCTGTTTCGGTCACATGAATTAGGTGATGACGGTGCAGATCAAGTGTTTCCAGGAGATCATCACCATTGGCTACAGAGTTTATCGTTCGTACGAGCTGCCGTGGTTCAGGACTCTGAGCTGGTAAGAAGAAGATGCAGGTTAATGTTTGCACCTGAGCATTTGTTTGGCGTTGTTTTCACAAACACATTAGCATCACAGCTAACAAGCTACGATTGTTATAGGTGACTGTTAATCCAATTTATTTTTCTAGCAAAAACCAGTATGCTAAAAACATTTTACTGTGTTAAAACATGTTAACAGTTTTAACACAGTAGCAAGCTAACTGTTAGCATGTTAACACCTAACTGTTAGATCAGTTTACCTTAGCACAAGTCAAAAGTCTTAGTTTAAAATACAAATATAAAACTTTAGTAGCATTTGATTACAACCACAGACCAGAAAGCAGAGAACAGATGATAAATAAATAAGAGCACTTTATGAATTAATCAGCAAAAAATAAAAATGATGATGTATGTAAGTATTTTGCCTTGCATGATAAACGCACTCACAATTTGGTAAAATTTAAACTTTGAGTAAACCAGAGTGCTAAGAGACAACTGTTGGTGCTTTTTAAATTCATCCAAACCATAAGTGGTTTAATTTGAATTAAATTAAACATGTCATGTTAAATCCCTGACCAGTGTGAACATCTCCAGGCATCCAGTTACTACTTTTTTTTTTTTACAAAATCTGTTGAACACACTCCTTGGCACACTCACACAGACACACACATGCTTACACACAGATATATATACAGTAGTGTGTGTGTGTGTCACCTTGGTGCAAAGATCTCTGCCATGCTGGAAATAACATTTCTACACACACTCACACGCACACACAGATTTGACCAAGGTTAGAATAAGTAGCTGAGAAAACACTGACTTAAAGGCAAGAGCTCTTTGTCAGTTGACCCAAAATATCCTAAGTAACTGAATATAGACCCAACATGCCTTTTAGTTCAGGTAAAAAAAGGTTTTTCCATTGGAACATCAGTGAAATAAACCTGCAGTTTTGTAGAGCACAGAGCCTATTAAAAAAGCAATTTCCAAGGCATAGTGTTTGAGTGTCAGTTAGGATGTTTTTAAAATAATAATAATAATAATTATTATTATTATCTTCTTCTAATAGGTTTCAGATTGCTTTTAGTTTATGAACAGACCAAAGTTTTTTGTAAAAGGTTTAGCAATGAAAATAATCATGTGATTTTTCTACATTTTTGTATTTTGTACATTGACTTGTACCTGTTGCTAACCTGCTAACTGAGGTGTTTCCTCAGGTATTTCCTGGTCTGTGTGAACTACTTCTTCTATGGCGAGACCTTGGCCGACTACTTCGGAGCTTTGGTTCAGAGGGAGGAGCCTCTGCAATTCCTGTCTCGTTATCATCGTTTCATCTCCTTTGCTCTCTACTTGGCAGGTGATCATGTGACCTTTGAGCCTGTCACAGACAAAAAAAACACTCACACACACAGACAGACACACAAACAAATACCTAAACAGAGAAATTGTTTTCTTGATATTTGTATGTCTGTCATTAAGTGTTCTTTAAGTTGATGTCAGTCACTCCATGAGTTATTTACACTGTAACGTTACAATGTAGCTACAAATTGTAGAAAAACGTGACACTTTCTTTGGCCACCATAAGTCACACAACCGCCATGTAGAAGATCTATTTACAGACTTCTATTGCATGTCAGAAAAACGGTGCGTTGGCAGGATTACAGATTCGATATAGTCCAGATTAAACCATAAACAACTGCTAGTTTAAAGATGTGAAGTGAATAAAAAATAGCCAAAATAGCACAAATGGAGAAACACTAGGTAAAACAAGATTAGTTGCAGAAAAATAGATAACATCATAAGCCAAATAATAATAACAAAAAATGAACCAAAATGTAACCATAACAGTGACATTTAGACGAATGGTTGTATTTATTGTCACTGAGTTTGTCTGAAATCATACACTTAAATCAACACTTTATATTTCAGTACACAAAAAATATTTAAATCTCATAATCTCAAATGAAAACATGTGTAACATTGTGTATTTTACCAACCTTGTCTAAGTCTAAGCACTGTTGAACTAAACAACTGGTGCGAGTTTGAACCTTTTTGTCTTAAAAGTAGCAAAGGGTCTAAACTAAAGCTTCTTTGGAGTCTGGATGAAGTCGCTAGATTGCTATTGTTCACACTGGACTGGTTTAACAGCACAGTTAGAGAGCAGGTTCCACTGGTTTCACAACAAACCGGTCACATTCTCGCCCAAAGGCTACCCTTGCTAAGCACAGACCTGTCTTATCTAGCATATCTAGCATAGTCACAGTTAACCATTTTGACACAGACTCATACGCTGACAGATATCTGTTGTCACACATCAACGTCATCCTGACCCCCATGCTAATGCTAACTAATGAATGAGTCTAATGTGTAAATAACCCTAATGTGTTACATGGTGCCTCACAGTACAAGTTAGACGTGTTAAGGAATTATTCTAAAGGACAAAAAACCAAGAGATTGATGGTTGAGACATCTGATTAGAAATATTTAGTATTAGAAAATTCACCAAAATGCACAGTTTAAATGCAGGTTTTAAGGCATGTAATGCGCGGCTGTACTTCTTAATTATTATTAGTACATGTGGTTACTGTGACAACATAGAGTACATTTTAATTTCTGGTTAGCTACTGTTAAAGATATGTGGCTCCAGACGTCCAGCAGAGGGCAGCATTGTTGCCTGAGCGTGTACAGCGACCATGAAGTGCTACTAAATATATATAGTATTACGCTCGTGCGCGCGCACACACACACGGACTCCCGCCCCTTCTTATTTAATGTGCTTGTGTTGTCTAACTGCAGTCGAACGTAAACATAGTTAATATGTTGTGTATACTTGTATTGTCAGTGTATACAGTACTTTGTTGTGTCAGTGACTGCATGTTGTTGTCTCTCTACAGGTTTCTGCATGTTTGTGCTGAGTTTAGTGAAGAAACATTATCGCCTGCAGTTTTATATGGTGTGTATCAACCACAGTAACCACACTCCTCCCCTCCTTTTTTTTTACCTCATATTTTTATTTACTTCTTTCCCTCTTTTTCTATTCTTCCTCACTGTCCTTCACTCCTCTTCAAGCAACATTGCTGTTTTCCTATGTTATTGTCATCTTGTCCCTCACCAGAAATAGCCTTGTATTAGTCTAACATTGATAACAATTAACCAACAGAAAAGTTTGGTATGGCCCAGTAATAGCCAAACTTAGCCAAATAAATCTAACAATAATTTACAAGAAGCATTTTTTTTATTTATTTGTTTTCCCAAGTGTCTATTTGTTCACTGTCATTTTTTAAATATATTGTAAATATATCTATATAAATAACACTGAACACAGAGGGCCAGTGTGCTGCAGCCAGGGTGTGGATGAGTCTTTTGTTTTAATACATACCACAGCCTTGCTGGGAGTGGAATTCAAACCAGCAATCCTCTGACTAAAAGCATGATCTCCTTACCGCTAAGCCCAGAGCTGCCCAATGCTGTCACACTTACTCAATTTTGAAAGCAAATCTTATTCAGTGCAGTCTTCACAAACACCACATTTGTGATGTCATGAACAAATTACATTTACCTTAATTTTTTTTTTTTTTTTTTGTCGTTTCTCTGACACTTCCAGGTAAGTTCACTCTCAACTAAAAACTTTCTAGGAGCTTAAATTAAGCCAATTACTCTTCTCAATGTAATGCTAAGCTTTCCTAGCACTAATGCTAAGGTTACTAGTCCCTTGAAGCTATTGCAAGGCTAACTAACTTACCTCTTGGACCGTATGCTATGCCACCTACTCTCTAATTCTATGCTAATGACTTATCTGGAGGTAATGGTAGACAAACTATTCTCCTGGATTTAATGCTAAGCATCCACTTACGTAAAGATTATGCTGGGCCAACTACTTATAGCTCCTCTGGCCTAACTTTCCCTGTGAAGTTAATTCATACTATTTCCCTGGATTTAATGGCTGACTCACTACTCTTGTGGAGCGACAGTGCGAACATTGCAGGTCCAAAGATCTTCAAATAGATAAATAAAAGTAGAAACAGAGGCTTGTCTTGGCTATGTTGCTATTCTCAAAATTGACAAGCTTGTGCTCTGATTGAAAGGCTTATACCATAATTATAGTGCCCTCTGTTGACTGGGCATGCTAAGCACATCAGAGTGGCTTTATGCATTTTTTTTATTGTAAAGTGTGTGTACAGTAGTACAAAGGAAAATCAGTGGGGTTTTATTTTTAAATAGGTTGCATATGTTTGCACGAATAATATAGCTACACCTCTGTAGCTAATAATAAGCTGGCCTTTCTTATTGACTTGCTTGTGTGTGTAGGCAATGTCAAAGGTGTGACATCATTCTAGTAAGTGACATGTTTCAGTGATTGTTTTTGTTTGTTTGTTCCAGTTTGCTTGGACTCATGTGACTCTGTTGATTGTTGTAACTCAGTCTCACCTTGTCATCCAGAACCTGTTTGAGGGAATGATCTGGTAAGATTTGTGTGTGTGTTAATGTGTGTGTGTGTGTGCTGTATTTATATAATAGTATGACATTAACATACATTAAATCAATAATTAAAGTTGTTAAGTGCTGTCTTGAGTCAGATAACATGTCTTGACACCAAGTCACCAAGATATGTCAAAATGTGTTCAAGATCTCACTGAAAAAAGAGAACATTTGACTGTAGGCTGAAACCAGTGATGCTGACACACCATGTTTCCTACCTGTGTTAAGGTTTATTGTGCCGATCTCCATCGTCATCTGTAATGACATAATGGCATACCTGTTTGGGTTCTTCTTTGGCCGGACACCACTCATCAAAGTAAACCAACTTTTCTGTCACATGATCAGCCATAATCAGGTCACATGACTTCAGAGCTCTAATGCCCTGTCTTTGCAGCTCTCTCCTAAGAAGACGTGGGAAGGTTTCATTGGCGGTTTCTTCTCCACCGTGTTATTCAGCTTCATGGTGAGACACATGTTCATGTTTACTTCCTCATCCTGATGTAAATTACAGGCCTGACCATTACCTCTGACCTTTTGCAGCTGGCGTACCTGCTCTCTCAGTTCCAGTACTTTGTCTGTCCTGTCGGCTTCAACAGTGAAACAAATGGCTTTACGATCGAGTGTGCGCCCACAGAAATTTTCATTCTACAGACGTACACACTCCCTGCTGTCATCCAGAACACACTTGGATGGGTAAGATTACTTGTTATTGTAGTAATGTTCACTTCCTTTCCTTCACTGGCATCAGTGAGTACTGTACAGATAGATGAGGCCTTCACACTTCATCAAGTCACTTCTTGTGAAGAGTAATTTAATCAACATTGTATTTGTTACTTGTGATACGTGTTAACTGGAAATAAGGAGACAGAGTTTTCAATTAAAATGCAGGTATAAAAACCGGTTCTTTTTTGGTTGACAAACGTGTTGTATATATGCTCTAAGACGAGCAGTGAACCACAGCTGTCCCGACTTGGTTGGCCTTTATTGGAATTTATGAACAGTAGACCACAGAAATAAACAGCTTTATCATGTGAACAGGTTGTGCATGTTGTTAGTTTCATTACAAACAGAAAACAGATAAACCAGTGTCAATAATATTTCCCTATGTAATTTTTAGTAATATCATTTTAGTTACATTGTTTTGAGTACATGTTTTTTTCTTTTCCTTTCTTAGGAAACAGTGAAGCTGTATCCCTTTCAGATTCACAGCATCTTCCTCTCCACCTTCGCCTCCCTCATTGGACCATTTGGTGGCTTTTTTGCCAGCGGTTTCAAACGAGCTTTTAAAATCAAAGTAACTCTCTTTTTTGAGTGTTTACCTTTTTCTTCTAAAATAAGACTTGTTTAACTTTCAGAAGCTAAAGCTAAATAACTTACAACCCTAAGCTAAGAAATAGTATACATTAACATAACATTGCTTCAGGAACCAGTGTTAAGCATACCTAAGCTAAATATAATTACGATTGTTAATATAATCTTTTGGGACAAGAAGGAGGCTTTTTAATATCTCAGAGCTTACTTACTAACTATGCTACCAGAGCCAGCAGCAAGCTAACTATTTCTTTGTAGTGATTGGAAGTATTTTCCTAATCTGTAGCCCGTGCCAAGCTAACAATTGTATCATATGCATCAAATCTTTATACAAGCTTTCAGTTTCAGCTAGCTAGAGAATTTTCAAATGAAACCCAATCGAATGCCAGTCCTAATGTTTTTCTGTTTCCTTCTTCATAAGGATTTTGCAAGCACAATCCCGGGACATGGTGGCATTATGGACCGTTTCGACTGTCAGTACCTGATGGCCACATTTGTTCATGTTTACATTGCTAGTTTCATCAGGTGAGCCCACAGACCAACAATCAGGGATCTGCTAACAAAAACGGACAAATGAACAACTTGTTTTGTGCTTGTTTGTGCAGAGGTCCAAATCCCAGCAAAGTCCTGCAGCAGCTGCTGATGCTTCAGCCCGAGCAGCAGCTCAGTATCTTCTTCACTCTACACAGTCAGCTCAAAGAAAGAGGCCTGCTACCCCCTGCAGACTGAATCAGGAACTGGCGGTTTGGCGGTCAGTCTGTCTGCATGAGTGTGAAAGGCAGAGTATGTGTGTTTGTGTGTGACAGATGACTAAGGACCTGACCTGGATTCATGACAGGACATCACATAGGCACCAGACTACTTTTTATTTAACAGACTGTAAGTCTGTGAGCACCAGGAGGCAGGGTTGTAAAAATAGAGATGCCTACTAATAATATGTTGTTATTTTAAATGTTGCTATATGAAATGGTTACACAAATGGTATGAATATTTTGATAATTTGTTATTTTAGTCAGCATTTCTGTGCAGTTGTTTTAGCAGCTCCATTGCTGAGTCTCGGTTGTTGAGTCACAGACATTGGCTGTATATAGGGAGTAAACAAAGCTATCTCCATTGCCTGTATTTCTATTACAGGTGATGGTTGCAGAGAAACGTAGGAAGATACACCACAAGTCAATACAAAATATACTTTTACTTGAAAAACTATAGATTTCTAACATTGGTAAACATTTTCCTGATGACACTGTGGTCTCAGTCAAAGCAAAAACAGTGAAATAGTTAGAAGTAGTCACTTTATATATATATTATATAAACAGCGTCACTTCTGAAACCAGAGAAGCACTTCTGTTGTTTGTTCCAGTCACTGACAGCTGCAGATGGTTTTGTCCAGTTCTTACATACAGTCAGTGGTCAGAATGAGGTGCAGTGACAAAGCAATTGCAGTGCAATAAATCGTTAAAGCACTATATTCATCTTACCGCACCTGTTTAAAAGGAATTCTCAGCAGTTTTCAACAATGCATGTAAAACTATTTTATCAGTCAAGTAATATCTCTTTACTGGCAACATCAATGCAACAATATGTAATACAAAAAAGCATTGTGTGTGTACGTATATATACCAACCACAAAGAGCTGTGATTGGTGATGAATGATGCCTCTGTAATCTACTGATTGTAACATCAGACTCCCTCCCCCGCAAAAAAAGATCCATCGTTTTTTTTTTTTTTAAATGCAGAGAATGAAGAAAACACTACTCTGGGCTCTTAGTGCATTAAATGCTAAAAATATAAATATATTTAAATATAAAAAAACTTATGAGGTTTGAATATATATATGTATATATATGTGTGTATATATATATATATATATATATACACACATATATATACATATATATATTCAAACCTCATAAGACTCTGTCTTATAATGAAGGAGACTGTTGAAGATGGAGGATACAAAATTTAGGGGTTAGTGTTTGCATGTAGCACCTTATCTTCTGTAAAACATGAATTAGTGACTTTCTACTGAATATTCAACATTCACTACACGTCTGATCCATGTATTCATTACCCCAGGCTTCTAGAGGAAAATTACAATTTTTGAAAACTTTGAAAACTCAATTTTGTTTGCCTTAAATAATCTAAATATTTTGTAAAGTGACACAAAAGTTTTTTCAGCGTTTGTGTCATTTACAGCAGTCATTTGTCAACTGCAATGCATGATGGGATGTATTGCTATTCACTAAACATTTAGAACCCACTACAAATGGCATGCCCCATGTGTGCACTATGTAGGATGTAGGTAGCAGTTTCGGACATAGTCAGTGATGACGAAAAGCAAAATGTCGAATATGTAGCAGTTAGTGTCATGTAAATAACACACACATGTCAGACACAGAGTTTCCAACCTGTTAGACATGTTGTGCACTTGGAATATCATCTAATGTCTGTGACAGAATGTCAGAAGAACAATTTGGGACATTTATCAGAAATGAATCGATGAAAAATAAATTGTAAGTCTCAGATCATTTCTCTCTTTAACAATGTAAAATTTTACCTGACAGCATGTTTTGTGGCTTCATTTGCAAGAATTTCGCTACTTTGTAGTTTAACATCAGTGACAGGAAACTGTCAGCATGAAAACACTCTAATGTACTGTAAATATACAAACATATAAAATATTTAACATTTTGAGCTAATAATATAAAAGCTCTGGGAAGGATCATCAGCATGAACAAACAGTTGTTATTAGCAGTTGTTAAAAATAATTTAGGTTTTAAAGCAACAGTTCAACATTTGAGAAACATGTTCCTTTTATTTAAAAAAAAAGGTAAAATTCAACATTCATCATCTTAGTTCATAAATTACAATAGCAAAATTAACTTCTCTGCAAATGGCAATGGTCTAATAGAGCCAGTGACTCTCCTGGACCTGTAATACGAGAACGTTTCTCCTTGAGCTAATGCTAACCTAACAACTTTACTGTAACTAACTACTTTGTCAGCTTTGATACAAGTAAATGTAACTAGCCTCTTCCAATTGATCCTAAGATAACTACTGTTCTGGAGCTAACCCTAAGTTAGCCACTTTTCTAGCTGATGCTAAGCTAAGCTTTTTGTCTGTAAACTAAGCCAGGTTTGTTAATCTAAAGATGTTAGCTTGTAATTGATTTGAGGAGCAGAGCCCATCCTATGCTGTTATCGTGTATGATTAATCATTTGTAATATTTGTTTCTCTTATTAATAGAACATATATTCACATTTATGTCCTCCAGCTGCTGGAGCAGTCATGTTTCTGAAAATATTGAACTGTGCCTTTAACATAGACAGTGCTTCCTGTTGAATAGTTTATAGAGTAAAGGGGCAGAGGTGGATGTTGTTTACACTTTTTTGCAACACGTCTGCCGTATATGATGATGTCACACGTGACATCACACACAACAATGTCTGTGCGTGTGGTTTTACACCTACACACGTATGTTGTTTATACACACATAAAGTAGCATATAAAAGTACTGTACACACACATGCACACAAACAAAAAAACACACTGGTTTAACAGCAATAGTTTGATAGCCTAAATAATGCTTTATGAAATAGTGACAAGGCGTCACATGATCACAACCTGTTACAACATGTCAATCACGATCTGTTATGTGTTGACCACTCAATACGTGGTGTCACGATAAACCATGGTCACCTGACGTATTGATAATGTGACGGTTTGAGACACGTTTTTAATAATGTGACAAGTTGTACTCAAGTGATGACTTTAAGTCAGACAAAATGTAAAACCTTGATGACCTTTTGCAATGTGAGAGATTGTTTGGTGAGAAGTTTTGATAATAAAACAGATCAATATCACATAAGTAGTTATGACATGAGGAGCTGTGATTATTTGACAAGTCTTGATCACATGCATGATGAGGTGGCGTTGTCTTACATGTTTGAAGTGACACCTCGTTAAGCGACTTGTTTTGTGGTCAAGTGACTTTTCATACAGTTGCAACTTGTCACCTTGTCACATAGGTCTGACGTTGCATTATAATCACAACTTGTCATGTGGTCACATCCTATCATCTCAACAAGACAAAAACACAAAGAACACCTGTCACATGATCACTTCATATTCCTGTGACAAGTCACGATCATATATGGAAATGTGATGATCATGTCATAAGTTTATAAAGTGATGTTCTGACGAGGTTCTGATAAATGTTTACCAAAGTTCCTTATTTACTCAGACAAAAAAGCAGTTCCAAATGACTTTTCCTTCCGTGGCAGAATCATTACATCAATAATGATGATGAAAGAACACTATAAAAGGGGATCTTTTTATTCCTTGAGGTAAATCATTGGGACCATTTGACACATACACAGAGTCGTTGATCAAACCATGTGACCATCGTGATGTCACTTTAAGAACAAAAGACCAATAACAGAAAAGAAAAATAAGTCTTTAGAGCTGCACTGCAGACAGTAATCAATTATCAATAACCAGTCAAACTAATCGACCCTGTAATGGGCTGCAAATTGTCCAGGGTATAGGTTACCCTGCACCCCCTCTATACCTGATGGCTGATGGAAGTTGCTTCAGCGTGATGGACCTGAAAAGGATTTAATGAAAAAGATTAATTAAATGAACTGAGCAAATTCAATTAATTTGTCCTGCATTAAGTTTGAGACATATAAATCAAAAAGTATTTTAAAATAATTTTATCTTTTGTGATAGACCATTTTCATTTTATCTACGATTAAATACTGGAGCAAATTAAAAACTTAACTTCAGAATTTAATGAACAATTTAAGTCTGATAAATATTTTATACCAATGATTTGGTTTATTGATTTGTGTTGATTATTGATTTTTGCAGTGGTGCCCTGTGCAGACTCACTGAGGTTTAAAATGTAAAATATTTAATAGAAGTGTATCATATTTCTACTGAAGGTGTGAATGTAAAAACTACTGCTTTATCTGTTTATTTAGTTTTGGTTTGATGAAAACAAACAAACATGTTTCTACTAGTTATCTGCAGGGTTGTTTTTTTTGTTTTTTTTTGGACTGGAACATATTTAAATGAACAGGAAGTGATGTCATATTTAATACCTTGTCATGAAGTGGAAGTGAAGATGTTTACTGTTCTGAGGTAAATAAAGTTTGGTTTTCTTTAAAAAAAAAACAATGTTGTAAGTCTGTTTTAGTTTCTTGTGTTTCGGGGGAAACAAGTCAAAGGTCAAATAAACAGTTTCACATTTATTTATTGAACAACAGTAACAGTTACATGCAAACAATGAAATATAACAAAAACTGATTTTCTGCTTACTGTATTCACACAAAAATCAAACAACAAAACCTTATATGACAGGAATGTAATCTCCCAGGGGACTAAACGATTTACTGGCTGATACGTAAAAGAAAAAGAAAAAACAAACAATCGATCAATCAGAATATTGGTCGATTGTTTGTTTTTTCTTTTTCTTTTTTTTTTAAGAACCTAATTTCACAGGTAACTTTCTGTCTTCAGAACCTTGTTTTCACTATTTTGGATTAGCCAAAACTACAGGCAGATTTGAAGAATGTACCAGAAAGCCTTGGTCCGTTGGTTCGCCGAATATTTATTAAATTTTAGCATTTTGTTATAGTCAGTCTCCTTTACCACGTCAAAGACATCGACAGTGTGGCAGCATTTTACAAAAATAGAACGAAAAGTTAGCAAGCAAGTTGGCAATTCACAGGTCGACTGCAAACATGGCATATCACCTGAAAATGGTAAGCTAACTTCTCAGCGTTTGGTTGCTGCGTCCCTTTTGAGTATATGAACATATCAGAATTGGCGTATTTCAATTATTAGACTAAAACAGTCTTATAATCATGTTATAACTGCAGACGCACCCTATACAATATTCGTCATTTGTGCGGATAACACTAGTTCACATATTAACATATTTTCAGAATGGGCTCTGGAATTGCACAGATGCACGCATTGCACAACGCTGCCAGAGAAGACAACCTCAAGTGTGTAGTTAATTTTAGTGCGAAACACTTGGGTTAAAACCTATGTAATAGCAACAAATAGACTACTAGTCTTTATGCTTATTTATAATTAATTTAGGTGGACAAGGCTACCAAGCATTTCAAGTCAAAATTTAAACAAATATATAAAAGAAAACAACAGACAGTATATTACACAAACAATAAAACATATTTTAAGAAAACTAACAAGGATTCAAAGTAAACAAAGATTGAATTAATAATTTTAAAAACTAATGGTGTTTTTTCATAAGGAAATACAGGGCATGTATCGCCAATACTGGTACCATTACTTGATATGAATCATTGTGTGCCCAAATCTGAATAAAGTTTATGTCTTTTAAGGGGTTTGGATGGTTTTTGAACCTAGGACAGAATTTGGTTCACAGGTAAGAAAAGAGAATCCAAGTGTCTAAGGGACATGACACAACAAATGTACAACTTTTTGCTCAAAATGTTAAGAATTTATTCTAGCAATGCTTCCCATAATTCTTTTTTTTCTCTGAATGTGGCCCTAATACTCTGTTGTATATTAAAAAACAATACATGTTTTTCTCTTTCTTGCACTTCATTCAAGATAAAAAAGTGTACAAAAAGACCAAAACTTATACAAAATATTATAAACAATACTGTTTTTGGTGGATCTGGTTACAGTTTAAATACAATAATCATACAGCGAAGACTTCATAGAAATAGAGTGGGGACCATTTTGATGATTGTGGACTTGAATAGAGTTTCAGACAGTCATGAGATAGAAGGTAAAAGTTGAAAGTGTAATTCTCAATGCTTTATCAGGGTTATCAAACTAGTTCTATTGTGATTCAATAAATTATTGAATCATAATCAATCATAATCATAATTATGTCATATGGTGTATACATTATATATATTATATATTATATAATATATACATATATAATATATAATACATATTATATATTATATGTCATAATCAATCATAATCAAAAGAATCAACTATTGTGAACATATGGACGTATGTAATGTACTCAAAATACAGTATGTACTCTTTCTTGTTGCATTAATACTTAAGGATTTTTTTTTTAAATGTTCAGGTCAAATTAGGATTTGTAGTACAATAAATGTCACGCAATAAACAAAACCGTATACAACAATTATATCATAAATTATATTAAATTGTTATTCAAAAATCAATGATTCACATTGCAGACACAGTTTTAAATGTTTAGAAAAAATATGTCTAAATAATAATAATTGTGTCCCTTAATCGTTCCACAATGGGAAAATGTACAATGTGAGTGTTTGCAACTGACACAGGCCACCACAGGAGGAGTCACTAAATAAAAGTTAAAAAGAGCATAAAGTACACCAAAGTAACTTGTAATTAATTTATGAATACATTTAGTATGTTGTGTATTATCAGTTTTCCAGTGCAAAGTGACACAACAATCAAGATGCTTGTTTTAAAGTGCTTGTCAGTTCATTTCCTCTTATTTTGAAAGCCACCCTTTTCTATTGAATTTCTTTAACATTAAGTTTTTGCAGATGAAGAAACTCAAATGCAATCACTCCAAGTGATTTCAAGACTCACAGTGAGTCACAATTAAAATTCCACAAATCAGCATGACAGAAAATAATTGACACTCCTACTTGACGAAAATATATAACAATAACTTTAACAACATGGGACGGATACATAAAAAAAACTTCAAAAAACATGCTGATCCAGCAACCTAGGGTTGGGGATGGCTTTTCACTATAACCAGCTGTGGGCAGGTCACCTATCACCTATCTTCCTCCTCTACTCAGTGTCTCTTTTCCCTCATGGCTAGTTTGTTTAGGCAACTAAGTCAGTAGTTTGAGAGGTCAAAAACAAAGATGAGAGCAAAAGCTGTTACCAAACAAGAAATGATGCACCGTAGCACTGAATACACTAATGTCTCATCTCAGCTTTACGGGACAGTGAATAGATTAGGAGTTTAGACCTCACCATAAAATACAAAACAGGGAGAGGGCCCTCCACTTACGTCGTAGAAGTTCCATTCCTATGGTGCATGGTTACTCAATTTCTCTTCTAAGTAGAAACTCACATGATACATAAGTACCTATGTCATTCACCTAAGCTATCACAGTGGTGACATCATAATCTAGGACATAAAAACATCAGAAGAGCCTGACTTACAGATCTGTTTGTGTGTGGCTATGTGGATATGTACTTCTATTAATTAAAACAATAAAACTGCCTCTAAGCATGTCCATGCTTGTTGTCTTCACTGTGATATCCAACCAGAGCTGTAACACCTATATACTATATATATATATATATATACATACATACAACTGCCTTTCTCTTCAATGCACATTTGCTGAACAACAACAAAGTATCAATATTGGCATTCGATATCGGTGAGAACCCAAATCAGAATATTCATAGTCATAGCTGTTCATAAAAATGGTATAGGGATAACCCTAGTACTTATCTAGCTGTTCAATAGCACATTTGTGTTGATCACTTTCCCTTCTACAGTGCTCCCTGCAGTGCTAACAAAGTAGTGTAAAGTAGTAAGTAGGCACGATGGAGGGGCACAAACAACCACAACAGAGGAAAATGCATTAAACACAGATGTACTGAGAAAAGACAATAAACTGCGTGGTCTGGACCAAACTTATAGAAAGCAATGTTCACAGTGATAAACTAGCTAAGCTGACCAAAGTTACCTGTTCAAGGCAGTGGCCCGATTTCCTCTTAAAAGGTGGAATCCACTGCCCCTGACCTAGAAAACTTGTGTTAATCTTAACAATGTTAACATTATGTTTTCCTTCCTAAGTGTTTGCAGTGTTAATTGCATTTAAATCTTCTATGTCCTCTTCTAAGATACGTTGCAGACTGATTCTTTCTGGACAGAAAATGTAGCGCAAGATGGACAGAAGGAGGCGCACTAACAGCCTGAGCAAGATGAAGGCGAAAGGCACTGTTATTTCCATCAGGTGGAAAATTGAGGCACTGAATCGACTCAGAATACAGGTTAGGAAGAAGGTCACCAATGCCACACAGGGGTACAGCGCAAGTTTAGCAAGCATAAAGATGTGCTCTTGACCATTGTAGCGCACGTATGGGTGCAGCGTCTCCTGCTGCCTATAAAGTGCAACCACGAAGATGGCCAGCTGAAAAATTCCGGCGAAAAAAATTATGACGCAACTGATCTGGATAGCTTCTAGTTCATTCCTGGAATTGGGCGGGAACTCGTGTGTCAACTGGTAGGCCAAAGGTAAACCCCCAACAAACGCCAGCGAGAAGGTGTTAAGCAGGCCCATGAAACGAGTAGTCCTAGTGACATGGAGGAAGAGCGAGTGGTGGGCAAACCAGAGGAGGCCCACGGTGGCGAAGGAGCCGAAATAAGCCAGATACTCAGGACCGTAGGCCTTCAGGGCGGCAACAAGACTGCCACCAAAATGCTGTTTCACCAAAGTTGGGTCAGGAACGTTGTCCTCACTAAGAACAAAAGAAAATTAACAACTTAACATCTGCAGCTAGAAATTATTATTGTTTTATTATCAATTTTTTATTTAGTTTTTACATTATTTTTACTAATTATTGAAGAAAAAAATGTAGAAAATGTTTATTTAACAACCTGAACTGAGACGAAAAAAGAAACATCTGTTGTAGCTACTTGTTTATAATTAAGTATTTCATTCATTTAAAAAAATGATTTAGTTAGTGATTCAATAGATGCAGAAGACTAAAAAGAGAGAAAAAAAATAACTTAAAAGATCAGTTAAATTAAGGTGAAATGACAAACCAGATGTCAAGGATGAGCAACGTAGCTACAATGGCATAAACACCGTCACTAAATGCCTCCACACGTTCTTTACTGAGGGGCTCGTTAGGCAGAAAACTGTAGAACAACTCGACTTCTGGAGACTCTTCTACAGGACCTGGAACAGATGTGTTCTGGTTAATGATTAGAGACAACACTATAAGATAAACTGGTCAACCCACATTACTATAATTCACATAGAGAGTTAACTATACAAAACCTGGCCGTAAACCTAGACTGCCTTTGTCTTCAAAACTGCAATGTGTTTTTTTCAACAAAAGGCATGTTATAGGGATGGATTGACACAACTTTTTCACTTGTTTTTTTTAACTACTCGTCATTGTGACACATCACACCACTGCACACAATGAAATGTGACCTCTGATGCATAGAGTATCTGCCAATACTGATATGTGAGTGATTAATGGAATAACCTAGAGTCAAACTTCTTGTATGTGTTTTCATACATGGCCAATAAAACTGATTCTGATTGTAGAAATTAAGAAGTAACAAACACCCCTATTGAATAAACACCATCTATGAAAGACTTTAAAAATACTCTTACCAATGGCTTTGCTGCGACACCATTTCAGACAGCGTGTAATGTAAGGCAGGAAGATGACGATGGCCAATAACACGTACGACTGGAAAGAAGAAAATAAAAAAAATAATGTATATATCTTATTATGAGGAGAAAAGAAAGTACAAAGACTGTGTCATGTACCAGCTGGAAGAAGATGAGTGACGTCACACTGGCGAAGAAACACACTAGAGGAACCCTCATGATGACCTTTAGGATGTGACTCTTGTAGAAGCTTCTACTCTCCAATGACTGAATCTGCTGATTCAGTAGGTAGGGATGACTGAAGGCGTACAACACGATGATCGACTGTTCAAAAATGGCACGTGCAGAAGAGGGCGCAGTCAGTACACAAATGATGACATCACAATACCATTAACTTAATATCTGCAAAAAAATCTTTGTGACATCAAAATGATAAGTAAATAAACTATTTCCCCTCTGGATCTTTTGTTAATGCTATGTTCAGATCACCTGGATAACACCAATCACCATCACACAACCACAGAAGAGCAGGATCCCAAGAATGTTTTCTGGAAAAGTGGCCATTAAAGAAAACTGCAATAAAAAAAAGAAAGAGAGATTATGTGATCTGCCCCAGGAAATAAGAGGATGATGACATTGATTCAATAAGATAAGAAAAATATATTATCACAAATATTATAAGTACTTGATTATTTGACCATGTGACTCACAGTGTATGGCAGGAAGGTGATGAGCATCATACAGGCCTGAAAACAACAGAAAAGGTTTTACCAAGAGTCATTATTATACAAAATTATATTTGCGTCTCTAGACTGCTTGCCTACTTTATTATATACGTATGTTTTGTTAGATATTTCGATTTTTTTATTATATGAGCCAAAATCTGAACTGTGGGTCAGTATTATTTACAAAAATAAAATAAAAAAATACCTACATTATCTTTATGTCACTGTGATGTAAGAACTTACGAGGTTTAGCAGAGCGAGACAGTCGTCGATCCGAACAATCACCTGAAACAACCTGGAGCAAATGTACTCTTTGTGAGCAACAACAACAACAACAACAGTGATCATGATAACAGAAATAATAATAATAATAATACATAGCATGAAAAAGTACTAAGACTTAGTGACTGATCAAACTGACCTGATGTGAGCTGCCCAGGCCACAGTCACTATGAGAAAAGTCATCAAGTAAACAGCAATTTTTGTTGTGAGAAGAGTCTGAACACTCTGTCTTAACTCCTGAAACACACACAGGTGCTATTTACTGAGGACTCTTTTTTTTTCTACATATAGAAACTTTTTAGAGTTTGATGTAGGTTTGTACCTCATTATCTTCCACTTTTGTATGAGCCACTGGTAAAATCTGCAAAATAAATAAGTTTAAAAAACAGTATGTTCATGTGTATCTAACACTAAAAGCTTTTAAAAACTTAACAGCTGACCACCAATAACTGTCAAAATGCAACAATAAACTGGGAATTTCAACCACTGCAAGGAAAGATGTCATGATTACACAAGTACACAATGCCATAAGCAATTAAAACCATGTGAAAACATAAAGAAAAACACACCACAATATGAAGATGAATGAGAGGAAAACAGACCCGCGCTCACTGTCACGTGACCAATGAAACGAATCTGCGAGAACGGAGCGAAAGATTAGTTATAGTAATTCTTTCATAGTGAAAGATTAGTTCACAGCGAAAGATTAGTTCACAGGGAGTGATTCGTTCACAGCGAAAGATTAGTTCACGGAGAAAGACCAGTTCATAGAGAAAGATTAGTTCACAGCGAAAGATTCGTTCATAGCGAAAGATTTGTTCATAGCGAAAGATTAGTTCACAGAGAGTGATTCGTCTGCAATGAAAGATTAGTTCACAGAGAATGATTCGTTCACAGTCAAAGATTAGTTCACAGAGTGATTTGTTGTTCGCATAGTATTTCATATGACTCGGGAGTCACGAATCTTTCATATGATTCGGGAGTCACGAGTCGTATGAAGGATTCGACATTTCGAACGAGTCACTCGCGAACGACACATCACTATGATGATAAGGTGATGTGAAGATCAACTCTTTTTATTGATTCGAATCTTTGACTTTCGAACAGTAAAATGAACGACTTGTGAACGAATCTTGAATTTCATTCGTTTTACAGCAGGTGGCGCTTTAGCCCTATTGTGGGCGTTGTAAAGAAGGCTGCGGTTCTCCGACACTAAATATTGAAGGCAACATGGTTTGCTTCCACTGACAAAGTCTCCAAAGTACACAAAATGCCATAAGCAATTAAAACCACGTGAATGTGATGAAGAGAAGAAGAGTAGACATTTAGTGTGTGCAGGAGACCAGGTGGAAGGGCAGTAAGGCTAGAAACATTGAAGGAGGCTACAAACTGTTTCATCATGGTTCAGATGGGAAGAGAAATGGAGTAGGGGTGATCCTAAAGGAAGAACATGTAAGAAATGTGGTGGAGGAGAAACAAGAGTCAGACAGGTTGATGTGTGTGAAGGTAGACATAGAAGAAGTGATGACACTCTCCTGGACCTTAGGGAGACAGGTAGGAGGGTGCTAGATATGCTCTCTGGGCAGAGAAAGGAGGACAAAGAGACCTGGTGCTGGAATGATGAGGTCCAGGAGAGTGTGCAGAGAAAGAGATGGGACAGTGACAGAACAGAAGAGAACAGACTGGAGTACAAAGAGAGGACAAGGTGGGTGAAGAGGGAAGTGGCCAAAGCCAAACAAAAGGCACATGAGTTGTACGAGAGTTTGGACACAAAGGAAGGAGAAAAGGAGTTGTATAGATTGGGGAGACAGAGAAATCAAGCTGGGAAGGATGTGCAGCAGGTAAGGTTGATTAAGAACAGAGAGGGGGATGTGATCACAACTGAGGAAAGTGTACTGAGAAGATGGAAGGAATACTTTGAGGAGTTGTTGAATGAGGAAAATGAAAGGGAAAGTAGAAACGAGGAACCAAGAGTGGAAAGTCAGTTGGTCCTGATGACATACCAGTGGAAGTATGGAAGTGTTTAGGAGAAGTGGCGCTAGATTTCCTGACTAGGTTGAGTAGTCTGATGAGTAGAGGAAAAGTGTTCTGGTGCCAGTTCATAAGAAGGGTGATGTACAGAGTTGTAACAACTACAGAGGGATAAAGTTGATGAGTCATACAATGAAGATTTGGGAAAGAGCAGTTGAAGCCAGGTTGAGGCACCTGAGCCCCTTCTTGTTTGCTTTGGTGATGAACAGATTGACAGATGAGGTCAGACAGGAGTCCCCATGGACTATGTTGTTTGCAGATGACATTGTGATCTGTAGTGAGAGTAGGCAGCAGCTAGAAGAGAACCTAGAGAGGTGGAGGTTTGCACTAGAAAGAAGAGGAATGAAGGTCAGTCGCAGCAAGACAGAGTACATGTGTGTAAACGAAAGGCAGAACAGTGAAATAGTGAGGCTACAAGGAGCAGAGGTGGTGAAGGTGCAGGAGTTTAGGTACTTAGGATCAACTGTTCAGAGCAGCGGAGACTGTGGAAGAGAGGTGAAGAATAGAGTACAGGCAGGATGGAACAGCTGGAGAAAAGTGTCAGGAGTGATCTGTGACAGAAGAGTGTCAGCTAAGGTGAAGGGAAAGGTTTACAGGACAGTGGTGAGACCAGCCATGATGTATGGTTTAGAGACAGTACCAATAGGCAGAAGAAGGACAGAGGCGGAGCTGGAGGTGGCAGAGTTAAAGATGCTAAGATTCTCTTTAGGAGTGACAAGAATGGACAGGATCAGGAATGAGTTCATTAGAGAGACAACACAGACAGGAAGGTTTGGAGAAAAAGCTAGAAAAGCCAGATTGAGATGGTTTGGACATGTGCAGAGGAGGGACAGTGGATACATTGGTAGAAGAATGTTAGAGATGGAGCTACCAGGTAGGAGACAAAGAGGAAGGCCAAAGAGGAGATATAGGAATCTTTCATATGACTCGGGAGTCACGAGTCATATGAAAGATTCGTTCATTTTGAACGAATCACTCGCGAACGACACATCTCTACACATCACTAATCACTATTCAATATGTTTCTTCACCTGCGAGACAACCACCTGACTTTGTCTGCTAAAGTAGAGGTAAATACACATTAATGGGGATAAGTTTAATTAATGTTTTCCTAACGTAACGTTGAATTGGTAGCACATCGAATGTTAACGTGTAACTTGCAAATATTACTGTACGATTACGACACGGGTTCGACTTTCAGTGCAACTGGACATGTTACACGACAGTCACCTAACCATACATTATACCGCTCGTATGTGAACATAGCGTGAGGTCAATCCTTTCTCTTTCTGTCGGACAGTTTCATTGTCAGTGTGCAGAGACCTGTAGAAGAAAAGTGAACCTTAAGCATTAGATCTGTTTGCTTTCTGCCATCGCAGAGTTGGTCTTGTAAATTCAGCACTACGGGTGTCCGTTTAATTTATTACAAATGTGTTTATGTATGTGTCATTGTAATAAAAACATAAAATAAAGGAACGAAAATAATACACAAATGATTAAAAGGCTTGAATAAACTTAAACATCTAGTATAGAACACAATTGATGACTTAAATAATTTAAACAATTGCCCTTGGGCATTCGTGATCAGTCCTATATAAATAGATCCTTAAAACTAGAAGAAAATTACAATAATTGAACAAATTATAATTAAACAAAAAGTATCACTTCTTTGTAAACGATAAAACAAATAATGCTACACAAGTGCTTTGTATTTCTTAGAGCAAACAGATGTGAAGGGCTACGGAACCTCTACCTTTCCGCAAAGCAAATCACACAAAAATATAATTACATTACTAAATATATAACCCAATATTTGTGCTAGTATATTTAAGTTACTTAATTTTGTTGTTATATATTTGCTGTTATATATATGTTAGCATCAAAGACCTTCAGAAGTGTTCATATGATTTTACACATTCATAGAATGGTGAAATCAATTAACGCATAACAATTGTGATAATCGTAATATCGTAATGAATTCTCCTGCAATAATCATACTAATCTCTAATCGACCATAACTCAAATCGCGTTGTCATTTCATATGCGTAACCATGGCTATTGGCTACAGTGCACAACAACTCAACCATGACAATAGGAACCCAACTAACCATGACAAGTGAAAATGTAGCTTTAAGTTGAGTTTACCATGACGATTCACTCTAGGTAATTGTAATTTCCGTATTGTTATATTAATTGAATAAATTTTCAGACGTCAGCATGTCTTGTTGACCCAGTGTTTGAAAGCGAAGGTGTCTGATATATATAACGTCACTGTTATGACCTCACCATGACTGTCGCGATTATGGAAATGAGTGCGTCGCTGTAGTTCAACAGTCTATGTGATGACTGTGTGCTGCTATGGTGTCCGTTGGCCTCTGGTTCTTCCTCCACCACCTGCTGCTCTCTGCTGACAAATTCTTCCATGGCGACAAAAACGGACAAAAACAACCTGCAGATTCGAACCCACGGTCTTTACAGACTGGAATCACAAAGAGAGTATGTTTGTAAACGGCAGACGATCAGCTGACATAAATCGGAACCGGAAAATCGCTCTTGGCGTCATTTCCTATTGCCTACAAAGACCGTTATTGTAAAAATGTACTTTTATTAAAAGCTTTTCAAAATATATTTTTAAATATGTGATACTAAGAAGCTGAAATAATAATTCGCGAATTTTGTCATTACGTTGTGATGGATACAATTGCGACATATCTTTCGTCTTCACAAACGAAATATTTGATCATTAATTTTCTCTTATTCGTTGTAAATGTGTGATGTTCCTATATGACCACAAGGTGGCATTCATACTGCAGTACTGTTCGTTCGTTCTGATCTATTACGACAAAAGATGTAACCACGACTACAGTTGTAACCATGACTACGTAAATATAAATGATGATATAGAGAAATAAATCCATTATTTTTGTAACCAACTACTCCAAAACGATACGGCTAATCAAAGTGCATTTGTAAAATGACACATAGACCTCTGACCCTGAAACACTAAAGTCTGAAAAAAAAACAAAAACAAAAACAAAAACAAAAACAAAAACAAAAACAAAAACAAAAACAAAAACAAAAACAAAAACAAAAACAAAAACAAAAACAAAAACAAAAACAAAAACAAAAACAAAAACAAAAACAAACAAACAAACAAACAAAAACAAAAAAAACAAAAAACAATTTGTGATTGTAGCTCAACACAACATACCTGATGCTGGTCTGTTGTTTCCACTATTGGTCTGTTGGTGTCACTAGGGTAAATTTTAATTAAAGGTTTCAAATACCAAGTCATTTCAGTAATATGTTGGAAGCAGCGGTAGATCAACAACTGTCACCTTTTTTCAGTTGTTCGGTGTTGGAGAGTGGGTGATTTAGAAATCTTAGTTTTCTATCTGAAATGTCTATCAAAAAATTTTGATAAAGAAATGCACTTTGATGTTTCTGAATCTTCTTGTAAACTTTTATGTACAAAAGCTTTTGATCTCATAGGGTAGGCCTGTGCAACTATATAAGCACATTCTTGACTAAAGTGGAAGCACAGTGTATCCATGTGTTTCTGGTCAGCTGTGCCCAGAAGATCAGGTGTTGGCTGATGGTGCAGTATATATACGTTTTAAATCGTGTGTGGTCTGGATTAGTTTTCCAGCAGAAGTGTGGATACTTGTCTGCTCTGTAAAAACAATGAAACACGACACATTCCTGACACAGCAGGAGGACGTGGCCCTGCAGCAGACGCATTCCTTATAGGTGGTGGGGTTGGGTGAAGGAAGTAAATGGCTCTGATGCTTGAATTTAGACCAGTCATGGTTATCTTTTAAATTCAAGGGAATGGGATTTTTTTTTAAAACAAAAAAACTATACAATAATTACATATAATAATGATTAATAATAAAATTAAATGTGTAAAGAGCTCTTCTCACCCACCACAGATAAAGAGATTATGCATTTCCATTTTAGCTCACAGCACATGTTAGTTGTATAGTATTCCACTACTTCCTTCCATGTGAAGCTTAAATGTCTTATCTTTTTTTATTATTCAAGTGTAATTTGTTCACATTTTCTTCAGTGATTCATATTAGCCACAGAGGGCAGCAATAACCCAGCAGCTCATATATGCCTTTAAACTAAAATATTGATATTCCTCTGAACCTAGTTGTCAAAGGCTAATTCATTTAAAAATATACATTGTTATATTCTTTTGGAAAAAGTTCAAACCAAAGCTGGGAGCCACATATAGGTAGTGGCTGCAATCAGGTTGCTGCTGGGACATTGTAATGTCTACAGAAACTTTAAGCAGTCCCATTAGAACACTGTGTTCCAATTGCTCTCGACCAATGTTACCATAATAACTGAGCATCAGAATGACTCTATGTACTCAGATACCATGTTGTTAAGCTGTTCGACACTGTGATGTAAGCTCTAACCTCTGGTACGATTTCCTTATATAAGACAAGAATGTTGCAGACAGACTGAGAGGGACATTTAGGACCCTTTAGAAATGTTTGTTACACTTTTAGATGCTTTACATCCTGTTTGATATTTCAGAAAAACAAAGGAAGTCAAAAGTAGCAAATGTACAGAGTACAACAAAACATCAGGAAGTTCAACACAAGAGGGTGAGGATCATTTTAGAACAAATAGATTATATTTAGAAACAGGGCGTCAAAGCAGGGTCAGAAATCAGAAGGGTTTCGGGGGTAGGGAGGAAAAACATCCCAGAAATTCTCTGGATGGGGGCAGCTACCAAGTCTATTATTATGTAACTGTTTATTACACATTACTATGACTACCTATAGTGTTGTACAGTTACAATTTAGGAATAATCAGATGAATGGAAAATATAGACACACCAATCAATGAAGTTAGTTGAGGAAAAGCTAGGAGTTAAAATTAAAATAGGAAATAATGGGCTAATAACATCTTTTTGGCATATTGTCAAGTATAATTTAAATGTTCTATTTATCCATCATCAGAATAATTTCTAAGGGTATTTTAAATTATTTTAAATATTTGTGTGCATCTCCCTTTGTTATTACTAATGCTAAAAAAATAATAAATCTTTCCACTGGCACCTGAATGTAGAGATTTTCTCCAGAACTCAATTTTTGTCTCCCTGAGTTACAGTTCCTGTTATTTCTCTAATCTAAAAGTTTCATAGAGAACTTTTTCAGTGTTTTTCAGTCATAGAAGAACACGTTGTGCAGCTGCTGTGGCCTCAGAAAATTAGTGGCTGCTGGGAAAGAGCCGAGAAATGACAGAGCAGTAGAACAGACGTGTTAGGTCTGATTTCAGGACCTGTTGTGGTTGAAAATCTGTGGTTCGATTCCCTTCTCCTCCACATGGACATGTGCTGCGCAGCTGTGTGTTTCTCTGCAGCAGCAAATGTGAGAAAAACAAACCCTGTCAAAACTTCACTTCATTTCATTAACAAACTGAAAGACAACAACCATAAGGGGAAATAAACAAAATAATAAAAAAAGCATCAAAGTCATGTCAAAATTACGAACATGGTGAAATTGCAAGCCGTTATCAAGGGACGTGTGAAGCAAGAATACGCAACAAGTCACAAAATTATTAAAGACAATTCTAAATGGATTCATTCCGGATTTTTAATGTTGAATTCTGTGGTAGCAAAAACTACAAACAAATCTAAACTACTAGTGTCGTACGGAGAAACGGTTTTTGAAAGAAATTAAAATAAATGACAGCGTTGAACTGCATGACGAATATCAGCAGTGTATTGATACTTTTGGCGTTTGGCTTGCGCTGGGTACCGGAAATACGTTGTGGTCACAAGGAAGTAAGCGTTTTTCTTCAGAGCAACTGCGTGTTGTTTACATTTTTACCATCGTCATTATAAATATCAACTTAAAGTCGATACATCATGAGTACTCCGATAATGAATTCCATCAACTCGGTATCAAAAACAAGGAGTGAGTGTTTTATTAAAAGCTGCCATCTTTGTTTCATCGTCATCGTTATTTGTGATTTTACCTCTATTAGCTGTTAGCTGCTAACGTCAGCTCATTGGATGTAAACATCGATGGTTCACAATGATGAGTAGTCGCTATATTATTATATTATTTAAGTAGTAAAGTAGCTGAGCTGTCATTAGCATGTGCATTTCCGTGTGCGCGTATATGTTATGATAAAAGCTGATTTTCTAAATGTTGGTTAACTTTCAGGGAAACTTCTAACAGTTTTATGATCTTGTGATTGTTTTATTCGTTTTATGTTGTTCTTTGTAGCTATATCAAAGCCCAATTGTTGATGGTTAATTACTATTATTGCATATTTAAAACATTTTTTTATCATATTTTACTTTATAAAGCATTATTATCAAGCATTTGTTTTATTTTGGCTTATTTCCAGTAGAGAGGGTTTCAGTGTTTCATTGCCCTTGGAAATATTATTACCCCTCTCCGATCCTCTCTGAAATGAGCCAGCTACAAATCAAGGGTTAAAGGAGAATGGTTTTGTGAGTGTGAGAACATGAAATTGTTAATTTTCTGGTAAATATAATTTTGTAGTCTTAAAAAAACTGGCATTTGAATTCTTTTAAATTTTAGTAAGATGCTGTTATTTGCATTAAATGATTCATTCTTAAATGTCTGCTGCTCCTGCCATCTATTGTTTTGCCTAGCAAACGGATAAAAAATAAAATTATTAATGAGAGGTATCTACTAAATCTCATTACTTATGTCTAAATGTTTCCATGTTTTGCTTCTATACAGAGAAACGTGAAGCTGAGCGTTCCGTTAATTGGACAGAAGAGGAAACTCAAGTTCTTCTCTGTGCCTGGAGTGACGAGCGTGTCCAGAAGAGTTTGGCTGAGAACCTTCGTAACCGCCACGTCTTTAAACACCTTTCAGCTCGTATGAGTGAGATGGGCTTTTGTCGCAGTCCACACCAGTGTCGTCTTCGTGTCAAAACGCTGAAAGCCAATTATGTCAGGGCCAAATTGCAGTGCGGCATTATTGAGTCAAGACCCTGTGGCTTCAAATACTATGCAGAGATGGATGCTGTGTTAGGTCGAAGGAAAACAGAGGGCGGTGCATTGCCATTTTTAATTTCCTCAAACACAACAGCAAAGCTTTGCAACAGTGACAGGCCAGGAAGTGAAGAACAGGATTTGTATTCTAATTTGGAGGTCAATGGTCACAGATTCGATTCCATGGCGAGAACAGAAAAACCGTGTTCAGTAGAGAAAGACAGTTGTCTGTGGTCGGTGGACATTAAGACAGAAGATGGAGAAATTTCAACTGATGAGTTTGAGTTCGTTGACACAGAATTCTCTCCAAAAGACCAACGCCACCACACTCACCCTCAGTCAGAAGACCAACCACAGATTATTAGTATGTAAATGTCTAAGATGACACTCTTGTTTTACTAGTTTTATTTTCCCTCTTTGATCAAATTTTGTACATGATGACCATATTTTTATACACATGAATCAACACATTAAGTTATCTAATAATTATTCATTAATGGCTGTGACAAAGTCAATTCTGGCTAAATGTATGATAATTTAAGCCCCACATCTTGAGAATTTCAAGGATAAATTCAGGAATTCCAAGGTTCTTTTGCTCCAAACTCCCACCTCACTGTCCTTGTTTTCCACATTTCAGCTGATATCAGTGCCTTTTTTCTTACTGTTCTGTTTCTGTTCTCTCTTTCAGTGTCACCAGTTGAGAACTGTTTGAGATCTGCTTCATCAAATGCCGTCCCACCTCCTCCCTCCACGGGTCCCCTGCCCCTCCCCCACCTTGATTCCTCATCTTCCTCCTCTCTCAACTCCGCCCTCAGGCCTCTGCTAGAGACCTTCCAGCAGCTGACCTCGGAGACCCACCTCCTGTTGGAGAAGCTGGAGCATCAGCGTCAGGATCAAGCTCGCTGGCAGCAGGAGATGCTGAGGGAATGGCTACAGAGAGAAGAGCGGCGACAAAGAGAGATAGCTGAAA